TAAGCTTATATTTCCGATGCAATGTCTCTAAGCTGTGGGGTAGAGAATGTGGAAGTCTGCCATGATCCTCGGGCCTTTGCAATTACTGTTTCTCCTGCCTAGCAGGCTCTTCCCCCAGACATCCCCTGAGGGATGTCAGCTCCTCCAGCACACCTTCCCTGTCCACTCTGTCCCAGAGGGTCCTTTCCTCTGTTTCCTGCCACCTCTCTCCGTTTCCTACTCTGCTTAATTTTTCCTGGCACAGGCCCACCTGATACACATTTTATGGATTTGTTATTGGAATTTCCCCATCCAAATGTGACCTCCAGGAGAGCTGACTCGGTCTGCTCTGTTCGCTGCTGTTTCCAGGCCTATGGATCAGAGCCTCTGACCAGGAATGGGAGCCAGCTAGAATTTATATTATGCCATTGTTTTCATTGTATTTATTTTTTTAAAAAAATACCTTCTGTTCATGACAACTGATACTATTTTGCATTTATAGCAGTGATATAATCTCCCTAAAAATAAATTTAAGCATGTAAGTAATTTTAAAAGATCAAATAGTGGTGGTACTTGGATGTCAATATTTTGGAAGATGAAACAAAAACAGTGCTCTGTGGTTGTCTTGTGGGGACTCTGCTGGCCTGCAAACCCACCTGGGAGCTACACACATCACACATAAATGTATGTGTACATTTATACAACACATAAACACACACATGGCATTTCTGTATTACTGACATTGAGCTTTCAGAGCTGTCATGGTCTCCTCCTCCAAGTGGACTGAGGACAAGAGAGAAGGTCCTCAGAGAGCTGGGAGCAATAGTGGTGAGTCATACTTCCCCAGGGTCTTCGGAGGCCTCTCCACAGACCCTGTCTTCTTCTACCTTGTGTTTTCTCAGTTCATCCAGCTCAAGTTGCTGATGCTTGCCACACAGCCCTGTACACTGTGGTCTTCTGAAGTGAAATGCAAACTGTGCCAGTGGGCGTCTCAGGAGGTGGGAGGGTACTGGCAGCACAGGAAGAAGCTGCTTAGTCATTCATTCCTCATTCATGAGCCCCAACCAAGGACCAGGTGCTGTGCAAAGTGTTGAGAATACAAAGATCCCCCAAGGAACTCATCACTAGTGAGCTCCACTGAATGTCAGTCTTAATCTCCCCATATAGAGAGTAATGGGAACCAAGGTTGAGGAGGGTGTGGGAGACCTACTGACAGCAGGGCACGTCAGGGCGTTCTCCAGTCCTGGTCACCCCCTGGGAAGTGTTTGCCTAACACGTCATTGCTGATTAATGTTTAATATATGACTCTTTCTAAGGATATTTTAAGTTTTAATGGAGAAATCCAAATTCAGAGAAAGGTAGGTAAGTAATGAATGAATGCATGCGATTTGGGTCTCACCTCTAGGAGAAGATGCCAAACTTGAGCTTTTGGTCAAGGCTTCTGATTGCTGTGTCTTAGGGTCCCCGACAAGAACATAGGTTCTGATTGTGGCTATTTGTCCTGTAACTTGGTCACACAGTGCAGTCCTCTAACTATAGTCAAGACAGTGTCCAATGTTGAACCTACAAATTCACTGAAATAAAGTGAGGTGGCCGTGATCTATATTTCAGTGTTTTTACCTGTGAGATTCTCCATCAGCACTTCTTCCACCTCTCAAATCATAACCTGCACACAAAATTAAGGAACATACAAAAATCTGTAACGCATCAATGCAGCTGGGCTCTGAAAATAGCAGCTGCAGCCACCAACCAAAGAACGGGCCTTTGTGAAGAGTGAAAGAAGCTGTTTGTCCTGAGCTCATCTTGTAAGGCGCAGTTAGAACTCTTCAGTATTACTAAAGTAATGTCTTCAAGCAAAGAGAGGAATCAATTAGAGGAAAGTAGGAAGTCTTAGTCCATTAGCGTATCCTTTCCTACTAAGGTTCCAGGCCCTAATTTTCCAACCAGAGCCCAAGAGAGTATGAACTTACAGAAGGCAGGCAGCGGACCAATTACAAAGCATAGGTTTGACAGCATTAGCAGAGGCCAGGCTCAAGGTAAAGTACACAAAATCAGAGATGAATCATTTTATGGTGTAAAGACCCATGCTCTCGGAGTGATTGTGTTACACCCTGACCTGGACATCGCCTTCAGGATCATGGCTCCACTCCAATAGCTCCAGTGCACCTGTTTCAAATTAAACTGTCCATTTTTCAAACATTGAACTTGATCTCCTCAGCCAAATTAGCACTACTTAGGAAGATCAGTCAGTTTCAGATACACTTCTCTATTATACTTGAATCTAAACCACAACTTCCTGACCAGTTTTTCACGTGGAGCTACCTTCCTAGCCAACACAGCACTTTTTTTCTTTTTTCATGAAAAATATCAAGAGATGCCATTTGGAGTCAGCATGACAGTCCAGTCTGTTTTTCTGAGTGGCACTGAGATCATACTTTAATCTACTCTGACCATGTTTAACTGTCATCTGCTCATCATTAGCAATTCCAAGGCTGAAAAATTATGCAAAGTCCCTTGGGGAGTTCAAGTTAGCCTGACAGATAAAAAGTCAGAGAGCAAAGGGAGAGCTCAGCAGATGGCAGAGAAGAAAAGGGAGCCGGTGGCAGGAAGAGGCTCATCTGTTTTACCTAAGCCAAGGCCCAAGTCAGGTGTTGGGAACATAAAATAAAAACTGTTCCTGCTGCTTTGAAAAGCTTCAGAGATGCCAGGGGGTCCTTAGTGGGCCACTGAGTTAATGTATTTGTTCTTCATTTCAAAATATAAATAAAACACCATTCCAGTGACTCAGTCTATTCCTTTTAAATTTAAATACATTCAGTAATGGAAAAGACAGGAGCTCCCCTCTCTCCCACCTTTTCAAACTCCTTAGGTGAAGCTGAGCAGAATAGATATTAGCACAGGGGTAGAGGGGTGGTGGCCCCATGGGATTACTGGGCACAGGGCAGGGTGAGGAGGGTGTCTGTATAGGGACATGGTGGCAATAGTGGCTTGGAGTGGAGTGTCAGAGCCTGAGAGGTGAGAAGGGCATCTATGTGTGGGTGGTAGCAAATGAATGGTTATGTATGAGGGGACTGGCCCAATATACCGTATTTTGCTGTGTGTAATGTGCAATTTCCCCCAAATTTTTGAGGGAAAAATAAAGATGCACATTATACATGGGTATGATTACATAATCCTGTGTATAATGCATGGTAAATTGTGGGTATTATACACAGTGAAATATGGTTAACAAGGATCATGGGAGTTTGGGATTATTGGAAAAGGGAACTACAAGTACAGGGAGGGAGAAAGAGAAAAACCTCAATGTGTGAGAGAAACATCTATTGCTCTGTAGCAAGAAACATCTTGCTCTCATAAGCCCCCAACTGGGGACCTGGCCTGCAACCAGGCATATGCCCTGACTGGGAATCCGACAAGGTGCTCAATCCACTAAGCCACAGCAGCCACAGGTGAACTGATGGTTTTCTTTTTCTTAAAAAAAAATTTTTTTTGATGATGGTTTCCAATATATGTACATATAGAACCATAGATTCAAGTGTTTGTATACATACATACATATTTCCCTCGGCTCAATTTCATTAGGTGGTGGCCTAGGAATGGGAACACCCCAATAGTAATAAGCACACTTAGCTTGGTTTCTAAATACCTTTCTCCACTCAAGAAACAGAATCAGTGGCTGGTTCAGACTGGGGCAAATAATACAAGTACAAGGTGAGCCTAGAACAACTTGTGCTTTGACGTCTTCAAAGAATAACAGGGGCACGTCAAAAGGTTACAACAGAAGCTTTGGAAAGGGGCTCCCACTGGCCAAATCTGGGGTAGTATAAGCACTAAAGTAATGATAGTATATTATCATTGAATTAAAAGTAACCCATCAGTCCATATTAAGTAAACAGATGAGAAAAAAAGTTCTCTTTATAGAACACCAATGAATAAATATGGAAATGATGGGATGAGAATATACAGCCCTGGCTGGTGCAGCTCAGTGGATTGAGTGCTGGTCCACAAGTCGAAGGGTTGCTGGTTCAACTCCCGGTCGGGGAGCATGCCTGGGTTGTGGGCCAGGTCCCCAGTTGGGAGTGAGTGAGGCAACTGATCAATGTATCTCTCAAACACTGCTGTTCTTTCTTCCTCCCTTCCTCTCTCTAAAAGTAAATAAATAAAATCTAAAAAATTAAGATAAAGATGCTGAAACCAGGGGGTAGTTTGGTGAGGAATGGGGTTTTTAGTCTCAGAGCACTACTCTACAAAATGCTTACTAGGAACTTTCCAGTGGAGAGTGCCAGAAGGCATCACACCTCAATGAGGCCATTAAGGTTAACATCACCAATGCAGTAATTCAGAAGCACGTATCCCAGTAGGAAGCAATGGATGAACACAGCACCACTTCTGATATTCTTGCCAAAAAGGTAGAACTTGAACCACATCGTGAGGAAATATCAGCAAACCCAATGTGAGGGGCAGCCTGCAAAACAGGCGATAATCTTCAAATGTCAAAGTCATGAAAACAAACTTGAAGAAGGCTGAGGCATGACTACAAGCAACAAAATGGCTTTTTCCTTAAGTGATAAAGGATATATTGAGACCATTGGGAAAATCTGGTTATCTGTGGATGGCAGTGTTTCTGTGTAAATTTCTACTTCTGATGGACTTATCTAGTGATATCAGAGAATGCTCCACCACAGGAATTACATATGCAAATACGTAGTAGTGTTGAGACATTACCTTCCAACTTACTCTTAAAAATGACTCAGAGAAAAATTTACTACCCTTGTAATATTCCTTGTACTATACTTTTCTGTAAGTTTGGTCTGATTTTAAAAATTGCTTGTGTCTTCTCACATCTGTAACTGAAATAAAACAAGTTGAAAATCCAAAATGTAGGAATAAAGACTTGAACACATCCCATAACTTATGGCCCACAAGAGAAACAAGTAAAAGTGATCACTGAAAAAGAGCAGAACATAAAAAAGAGTAACAATGATGATGATCACATTCAGAAGTGATAAAAGTTCTCTCAATTTCTTTTTTTTTTAAGAAAAGATTTTATTTATTTATTTATTTTTAGAGAGAGGGGAAAAGAGGGAGAGAGAGGGAAGAAACATCAATGTGCGGTTGCCTCATGTGCACCCCCTACTGGGGACCTGGCCCACAACCCAGGCATGTGTCCTGGGTTGGGAATCAAACTGGCGACCCTTTGGTTCGCAAGCCAGTGCTCAATCCACTGAGCCACATCAGCCAGGGCTAGCTCTCTCAATTTCTGTGTCAAACATTAAAAGGCACAATAAAAAGAAAATAAGTGAAGATCCTTTTAATTTTTAGACACATGCTAATTAGAGGAGAAAAAGTACTTAAAATACCTCAGAACCACATATTTGAATTCCCAAATAACTTAAAACAGTCAAATAACACTTTATCATAGATGATACTTTCAAATGGAAATAAATTTTTGATGCCTTTAAAATTCCTAATTTCCATGAATATTTCAGTTATTAAGATATTACAAAATGGCAAAAAAGATTCTTTGAGATCTCAAAGTAAGAAAAAGCTGGAGAAAAGTATATATTAAAGGTCTTCACAAATATGAAGCATGATTATTAGAATCTTGGTAAAAAGTAGTTTTTCCTAGCTTCAGGAAAGGGCTCAACCTTGATTCCTTGAACTGCTCAGCGGGACACCATTTGTGGATGATCTTTTAAAAAAGCCAAGGCGCTGCCATCCTGTCAGGAGCCAGTGTCGGACCGAAGAGGTTTGCGGTATTTGCACTGAATCCAAACTCGGTACATTGTCAGCTGTTTCCCTCGGTTCACTTGCAATCGGCGATCCATTAGGTTCTGAACTTTTTCCAGTCCAGCAGTTGTGAAAAGTGTGTCCAATTCATCTAATTTGGAAAAGAGATGTTTATTATATTTTAAGTGGCTTCAGTGGGCTGTTTAGCTATAAACGCAGTAGTGGCTTGAAAACAGCAAGTTCGTGTTTAGCTGGGGGAAGCCAAACCATCAGTGACGGGTGGCCTGGAACTCAAGGGCAAGCTTTTTAAAGAGTCAGCTGATGGGGAGTAATGTTCGTGAAGGTCTTATTAACACCTTAAAATCACACGTGAAAACCTACATATATATATCAAAGCCATTTTTTTTTTTTTAGGGAGAGGTTTCATCACTTTAACCAAAGGCTCAGAAAAGTATGTGACTTGACCAGGGGCCCAGCTACCGAGTTTTCCTAAGGCACTGGTGGAGGAGCAGACCTGCAGCTGGGCAAGCAGCAGAGGACAGCTCTGAGTGACATCTGGAACCCTGGGAACACTAAGTTCATCCTAACTCGGGTGCTCCTATAGCACAACCCACTCAGAGAGTAAAACAGCTGCACTCTCTTGCAAAACGGGCTGGTTTCCCATTTTGAACAAAATGACAGGGAGAAAGGACAGAGAAGAATAAGGTGGAGGACTGAAGGTGTACAAGCTGAGCCTATTTGGAGAAGAGTGAGCGGTTCAGGTTGCCTGTGATGGACAGAAAAGGGCAGGAAAAGGCTGCAAAAAGGTAGGAGGAGGGCCAGATGGTCTTACTTCTGAAAGCCCACTGAGGAACTTTCAATACAGCACTGTGGCAGTGCTAGGGTAAACATGAGTGTTGCTTTCGTACCTTGAGTGAAGAAGTAAACTCTGGTGCCATCACCTCTCACGTAAAAATTTTCAGAGAGACACTGACCTGCAGAGCGATATGGCAAAAATCAGAGAAACTTAAACATGTGCGACTCTGACCCCCACACTAGTGTTCTGTTCCATGCTGCAACAGGTCATGTTCCCCCTTTCCCTGACTAAATAAATACCATACACTCTTTGTTTTAAAAAAAGAGAGAGAGAAATAAACATCAAGCAATATAGCTAAATTTAAGGAAACTTAAGACAGCCACCAGTACCATTTTGGTGACTGCCATTTCACACGTCTCTCCATGTGTCTACACACACACACACGTTCATAACTATGACACATATACTGTTTTGATCTTGGACACACTCTCCCTTCTGCTGCTAACCACTCCCTGGCTTTATGCCAATCTAACACCCTGGTGTGTAATCCTTCACCTTTTGAAGGTCAACATAATCTTAATTGCTTTACTTACTTGTGTATTTCTGCCCAGCTACTGTTATATGCGAGATCAAGTTTGAAACACTCATCTGCACACAGCTCTTCTCAGTTGGTAACACAATGGATCCCCCCTCCCATCCCCACCTAAGACCAGTGCTATGGGGTCTACCTCACACAACAAGTGATAAGTTCCTCTATTCAGAGGCATTCACTCTGTTTCCAAGACTTTGCTATGTATATATTAGGGGCTGGTTCTTAAAAAAGTCCCCAAAGGACAGTTGAATCAAACAAATACATGGTGTTTTTATTTATTTATTTATTTATTTATTTATTTATTTATTTATTTTTGAAGTTTACTTATTCTAGAGAGGAAGGGAAGAAGGAGAGGGGAGGGAGGGAGAGAAACATCGATTTGGGTGGGTCACTGATCTTCTCCTTATCTACTTGCTAAAAGCCCCTTGAAGAACAAGATACTAAGTCTTTATCTGTTTTATGCACCGAAAACATTTGCCTTTTAACTAATTAATGGAATCATTTGCCATACCACATTTAAAATGATACACTCAAATGTCTTTTTCTAAAAGTAGCTGTCATGGTGAAAAGGACCTCCCTAATTCCTAGATTATACAAGTCTCCAAAAACAGACCACCCCTGTCCTGTACTAAGTGGCTTTGTATGTGAAGCTATAATTCTAGAGTCTCTACTCTGTTCTACTGATTTGTATGTCTACTCTGATGGCAAAACCACTGTTTTGATTGTAGTAGCAAAATACCTTTTTTAAACCGAAGCTGAGCCATATCATGGCGGCCATAATCTCGCAGAAGCATCATCCCTCCAGGCCTCAGAAGCCTGCTCAGTCTGTCAATGGCCTTCTGCATCCTGTGGGGTAACAGGGAGTGAAGATCAAGTCTGTTTAAGGGCAGGATTCCTTTCCCTGTTGCATATCCTGAAAATTCAGTGGACTTCCTAATTCTTTATCCTTGCTTTAGTTAGAACAGGAACACACATTGAAATTTCTGACGTGCCTTCTGGGGCTTGCTCACAACTGAGGGTAATCTGCTTCCGCCTTAGGGCTCCACCATAAGGGAAGTGACAAACTCTGCCGGGCTCATTTCCTACTCTCCTAGGATCGCCTCGAGAGGAAGCCATCCCGCCCTGTGCTCCCAAGGCTCCCAGGGAGCCCTGACCACCCACTGTGAGACTAACCGAGGACTCATCTGCCTGCCCCTCTAGGGCCAAGCTCTTTGAACACAGAAACTGAATTTTTCCATTTGTTAAATGAAGACTGAACCTCAAGAACTTACAATTTACATGGTAACAGTCAGTATGCAAATGAACACCTATGGGCAGAGCACTTCACATTTCCTACTCCGCTTTCTGTATTGAGGCCTGGTACAGGTTTTGGCTTTTCTTACTTCAGAAGCATACACACTAAAGACTTACAAAAAAACATTTGAAAGTTTATTTAAATATTAAATAACTTATTTTTCACTTTAATGTTTCATTTTGGTCCGTGCCAGTTTTTAAAAGTCTGTAGCCCTTCAACTCCTGCAGTTATTAACATTTTGAGCCAGGCCGGGCCTTGTGTGCTGTCTTCCACTGGCCTTCACCGCACACGCCCAACACCCGTCAGGTCAGATGACTCAGTGCTATTCTAGAGGGAACTTGGGCTGCAGAAGACCAATCACTCTCCTGGGTTTCCAAGCAACACTGCTTCCTTGAGACAGCATTTCACCAGGAAGACGAGTTGCCTATGTCTATGAAGCTTTAACAGTATCTTTTAGGGCACAGTAATTATCTTTTATCTAAACTGATTTTATGAAATTCTACTGTACTTCAGTTTTCCACAGAACTTAAGGATCAGAGAACAGCTGAGTTAAGCTTCACTATAAATTTTGTGCTGTTAGTAAAAGCTTCATTTATTTAAGGCATTTAAAAAGACAAATAATGAGATGTCATCTAACCATGGTGGCACTCAGAGTTCTAAACCAGCATGTTATGAGATTATCAACAGGAAATTTCTCCGTACACCCATTAAGAATGGTTCCCCTCTTCTTTGGGGATATTACACCATAAAAATGAAAAGAACCAAGCACTGTTGTCAATAAGCAGAGGTTTAGAGGCTGAAACAGAAGTTGAACTTCAGGACAAAGTTAGAAAAATGGCTGAGATGCTTCAGTCATTTGAGATGGAGTGGCTTCTATCAGAAGATTCTTATTCTTCAAGACCCAACTCTGTTATCAAGGTCCCTGATTAAAGCTGTGTTTTTGTTATACTACTGGGTAAGGGACTTATAACTTACTTGTCTGGAACAACTGCTGAAAGAACAAATATGAGGACGATGATATCAAGACTATTCCTGGGAATTGGGTAGCTCTTATCTTCGTCACACAAATCGTGAACAAAGGCAAAACACCGAGAAGGATCATATGCCGAATTTGTCTGCAGATGGTTGGAAGACAGACACACACAGGCTGGAAAATGTTCAGAGCCTCAAGGTAAGTTAATCCTGCTTTAAGTATAATTGTGGTTACTTCCTTCTGAGGGATAGAGCTCTAATCATTAAGGCACACATTCCTACTCAAAGGCCAAGAACCAAGAACAACTATAGTGAAGAGCCTGTGGAATCCGACTGGTGCTTTTAAAATGGAATGTTCCCGATTCTTCTATTATATTCTGATGTAGGGACTTAGATCTGAGGACTGGAAAATGATCAGGTAGGTAAGTGACCAAGAGGGAAAAGAAAAACCTCACAAGGAGAAAGACAAAACATACTGAAAAAGCATGATTTAAAACAACTCCCAATGCAACTACAGCATGTTACACAGATCACAGAATTCTCCAGGAAAATCTATTTCTTTAAATGTGGAAATTTTTATTTATTAGAGCAAACACAGTTTAGGGTAACTTCTCTTTTCACATCTCTTGTGAGTCACATCTCACAAAAATGTGACTTCGTTCCTTACTGGTCACAGCTAATTAAAAAGGAGCGAGCAGATTATCAGCTGGGCTGGGTCAACCAGACTCTTTCTGGTGACTGTGGAACAGGGGCAGTCGTGCTGGTGAGGTTCTGAGAACACCCGAACCGAGTGGACCTGCAAGGGAGTGGGAGGGGCAAGCATGTTGGGGCCATGTGCAAAACCAGAAAAAACTGAAAGCTAGTGTGCAAAGAGAAAACAAATTTTATCTTATTTACTTATTTTTAGAGAGAGGAGTAGGGAGAGAGAAAGAGAGGGAGAGAAACATTGATCGATTGCCTCTCACATGCCCCCAACTGGGGCCCTGGCCCTCAACCCAGGTGGTGCCCTAACTGGGAATCAAATTGGTGACCTTTTGGTTCTCAGGCTGGCATTCAATCCACTGAGCCACATTAGCCAAGGCAAGAAAACAAATTTTAAAAAGGCAAGTGAGGCCCTGGCTGGTGTAGCTCAGTGGGCTGAGCACGGGCCTGCAAACCAGAGGATTGAGGTTTGATTCCCAGTCAGAGCACATGCCTGGGTTGCAGGCCAGTTCCCAGCAGGGGACACATGAGAGGCAACCATACATTGAAATTTCTCTCCCTCTCTCCTTCCCTTCCCTCTAAAGATAGATAAATAAAATCTTTAAAAAAAAAAAAGGCAAGTGAGCACTGGGTAATGAAAGATAAGACATTATGAACTTGAGGGAAGTGTAGTGATAGAGGGAAGGGATGGCAACACCTTGCCGGCCAGCCAACTTGCCTTGGTATGAGACCTTTCCAGGGTTGCATTTCGGTGCTGGCTACACTTGAGGCTCTTGGGTTCTATGACATTCCACTTTATTGGTTGAGTTTGTCTACATGTTTCTGTGACTTGTAACTCAAAGATCCTTGACTGAACAATCATCTCATTTCAATTCTTAAAAAATACATTCGGAGAGGCAGAAAGACCTCCCCAAAATTCCGCAGCTGGCAAGTGGCAGATTCTGTATTTATGTCTGACCCTCTCGTCTATCCCAGGCTGTTTCAGTAAATCTTTGACTTCCAGACCACAGTATAATAAGAAACTGTGATTTTTTAGGAGAGCTTTTCCCTTTAGTCAGTGAAAATTACTGATAGGAGCCACTGCACTCACCTGGACCAGCTGTATAGCTGTGGAAGAAAAATCACAACAGTAAACAAAGAGTCTTGGGTCACTGAAATGGGCAGAAAAAACAAACAGCAGAACAATTACATTACAAACTGGATTATGTCTATTTTCTTTCCTGATTAAGAGTTAAACTATAAAAGGTACTATATATTAACAATGTAACAGGTTTTAAATCTCACTGATTTCCCTGAAGACAAAGGTAACTTATAAATCAGATTAAATCAAAACAATCCATTCATGGATACTGTAGAAATCCAAATCTCCCCTAACCCACTGTTATATTTGATGCAGTAAGAGTTTTGATAAACAAACCCCACTTTTCTCCTTTTTGCTGCCATGCAGTTAAACTTTAAACATACTTACTTGTTGGTTTGTAAAATTGGAAAGACTGTGTTTCCCACACCACAACCGACCTGCAGAGGGAAATGAACTTATTAATCTTATTAAATGAACTTATTAAGAACTTTCCAAATTAATTACCTGAACCTACATAAGTAATCAACAATAGGTACTTTCGCCTAATTGTATTAGGGATGATGTGGTGGCCAGAGCCAAACAGTACCCATGACATTTCCTGACCTTGACCTCAGGAGCCCTTGAAGAAGTAGCATGGGCTTTCATTAGCAGAAGGGAGCTGGTCTAAAAGAAGGGTGTGTGTGATTTTACTTTCTGAACTCAAGTGAATGGTCTCATAGATGAATTCTTTTCTTACTGAGCTTCACTACATCACAGAAAAATGTTTCTAATAGACTGGCTGAAAAATTCATGAATAGGGAACCATTATTTCACTGTCCTAAATACAGTGCTGAGTGTGGTAATTAAAAAAAGTGACTACTTACTAAAGGCTCACTATGTGCCAGACACTATTAGCTATTTACATACATGAATTCAATTAATCTCCATAAAAATTATGAGGCAGAGGGAAACAGAGAGAGCCAGAAGTCCCATTCTGTTTGGGAGCTATAAGACACTAGTACAAGGTCATGCCATAGGACTCAGTCTTAAGACTAATCAGCTTCCGGTGGAGTATGTGATCACCATTTGTGAATTTACATTACAGTACCCACCCAGACACTTTTCCAGGTCTAGCCTTACCTCTGCAACACTGTGCAAACTCAAGACAAGAATTCTCTCACATCTGAGAAGCAGGCACCATTCCAACTAACCTCTCCACTTTATAAGAGAAGTAACAGAAGTTGTCTTGGGACTCTTCCAGATGACAGGTGCAACATGACCTGCAACTTTCAGATGCAAAACCAAGTTCCCAGGCGGCACCTCAGGAGATCTTTCTTTGTTTGCCACAACCACCAGATACCTTGGTCTGCATTTAGGGCATTTCAATTCAAAAAGGGAGGTGATCCCTGGCCAACATAAGAGTCAAGTCTTCACCAGATGTCACTTTGTGGTTGGCCCCTCTTAAACTGACTACATGTACAACATTGCTTTATTAACCCTACTACCAGACAAGAAAGGGAGGTTACCTCGAATATGCGGTAGGTGGCTGAGGATCCAGGAAACTCATCAGCACAAACTTCCAGGTGACTGAGTTTCTGAGTTATGTTCTCTTCCACAGGAAGAGTATGTGCTTTATGTCCAAGGCCGTTTGAAGAGCATTGGTGCTGTTCTTCCTTTAGGAAGCCTGGTCCATCCTCACTGCTCTTCCATCCAGGCACTTGACTCCTCTTGTTCTCTGAGAGCAAATCCATCAAGTGATTTTCGTTTTGACTAGGTGCCAGCTCTGGGAATTCAGTGAAAAGCCAATGTCTGTCCTTGAAAAATCCATTTTCATGGATTTTGTAAAAGTCATTCCAGTATTTATTGGCATTAATCTCGTAATCAACTGTAAATGTTTAAGAAAAAGAATTTAAGAACCATTTCTCCATAGTTTATTTGTATCTAATGTCAATTATCACCTTGCTTCACCGAAAGTCATTTCAGATTAAAAGTATGCTCAATTAGAGCCACAGCCTCAGAGACGGAGACCATTTCATCCTACCACCTATCGTACTTGCATTCCCTCCATAACTTGTCCTTCCACGGAATCCAACTTCTGCCAAGACACTTATTACCTATCGATTCTTCTCCCACATCTTTGGACAGCTCTTAACTATCAGAAAATTCTAATGTTAAACAAAAGCTCTGCCTAATCACTTTTGGTCAAAAGGTCCTACCATTTCTCAGGGCCATAAAAGACAACTCTTTTATGTTTTGAGGGCTGTTATTTTTCCCTCTAGATCTTCTTTCACAAGCTAAATATCCCAGGTTATTCAGTTGTTCCCATGTGAACTCAATGGTTCCAATACAGGCAGCTCTTCTTTAAATGTGGTTCTCCTCTGTCTGAGGTTCTTTATAAAGTGTGGAGCCCAGAAAAGAATACTACTACTCATAGATACTAAAAATGGAAAGAAGGCTAAAAGAAAAAAAAGAGAATGCTAACAAGGAAAAAGCGTCTTCAGATGAGAAGAGTTTTGATGCCGGAGGACAGAGTATACTAAAGAAGTGTGGCCTGTTTAGAGGAAAGCTGTTGTTTAAGGTGATCAAGGCTGTTCTAGATTTCAGTTTCCTGCTCTTTGTCAATACAGGACCTTGATAAGTGTCGTAGAAAGAATAAAAATCTAAGAAACTGGATAGTCCCACCACTGCCACTGCTAACTGCTTACCTCTGGGCAAAGCACTTAGTGTCCTGTGGTCCAAGTTTCTGTAACTGTAAAAAGAGGACAGTGGACCACATGATTTTCAAAATCCCTTTCAACTTTAAGTTGCTTTGATCTAGTTCCTGTCACACTATGTCAGGTAAATATTTTGGGACTAGAATCTTCTTAACTGTTGTACAGAGATCTTTCAGTGGGTACTACTCTCTAACTTCTGGACCCACCTTCAATCTCTCTTAGGATATAGGCCCAACCAGTGCTAGTTTTAGTATCTAGGGGCATTTTGCAGTGAAGTCATCCACTTCTTCAGAAGTGGTCTCTTTTTCTTTGGCCAGACTTATCTCCATTCCGTTTCACCCATCTTTCCTTGGCAGAAGCCTTAAATCCTCATAGCCAGCACACAAGGAAAAGACACATAATTCATCAGTCATCAGTCCCCTTCTCCAACAACATTTAGAATCTAACCACTTGAATCTAGCTTTGATAACATTTCCTCAGGCAAAGTATAATCATACATTAAGTAAATCCTCTAAGACAATCTTCTGGTGGTTGCCATAGGCCAATCATATTAATATGGGTCTAGTGAACACAACTGAAAACCTAAACATTAAAACATAATAACAGTCGAAAATAAAACACCCTCTATGCCCTAACAAGATTTTACCGGTATAACCCTTTTCCATTCATGCACATCCCCTCCCTCTCCCGTTTTAAACCCGAGTCCAGGAACAGACTCTTGGCAGTCTCGGTTCTCTGGCCTCCCGCAAAGCGCATCCAGCAGTCCTCTGGCTGCCATCGAGGGTCGCCGTGGGCGCACCTTGCTTCTCCTGGCACACCCGCTGGGTACTGTTCTCCTGGACTTTCCTCTGCGCCGCCGCGGCCTGCTCTTCCGACCACTCCACATTGTCCCTGGGAAAATCAAACAGGCAGCTTAGGGGCCTCACGTTCCAGCTGCGGGCAGGGTGAGGGGCTGGCTTCCGAGCGCCTCTTCTGGGGGCGCAGAGCGACTCGAGTTAGGGCAACGGGACTCGTAGCTGGCGGTCAGGGGCTTCTCGGAGAGCTCCAGGGCGGAGGGACAGAGGGTGAGCAGCGGACCGGAGGAGAGGAAAAACGATTACCAGGCATTGTAGTGGAAAACACGAGCCGGATCGCTCAGCAAGCGATTCCCGAACTGCTGCCTCTTCCTGCGGTCCTCCGAGGGCGAGCCTTCAGGGAAAGAACCTGCCATGATACCGGACCCGGAAATACCTGCCACTCCGTAAGACGAGAACTTCCTGCGGGACCACGCCCCCTTCCGGGAGTCGCCGGGTGTGGGCGGGAAAAGACGGAGGCAGGGAAGGGCGGCCCGGGTGGTGGGTCACAGGTAGGCGCTCAAACGCTCTTGGGTGAGGCTGGTCTTGAGTTTTACAAGGGCTCTGGTGGACTTGCGTGGTGGCAAGAAAGTGGGAGACGTTCTACTTGAGCCTTCTTTCAATGCTGGGATCCTCTAACAGGTTCCCTTATTTCACTCAAGTTGAAAGACAAGAAAAATCTTGAATCACTTAGAATTAAGGGTACCTAATTCCACTGTAGAACTAATAATGGCCAAAAGAACTGTGGAAGGTAGCTCGCAAGGTGAGGAAATAGAACAATGTTCCAGCCTCTAGAATCAGCTTTTCATAGTGTGAAAACTATGAAATATATATATTCTTCTCATTATTTTTCTCAGGGAAGGATATGAAATAAATAACCAATGAGAATTTAAAAAAAATTTTTAGCCATGGCTGGTGTGGCTCAGTGGATTGAGTGCTGGCCTGTGAACCAAAGGATGGCCAGTTCAATTCCCAGTCTGGATATGTACCTGGATTGTGGGCCAGATGGGGGGGGGGGGGGGCTTGTGAGAGGCAACCACACGTTGATGTTTCTTTCCCTCCCTTCTCCTCTCTAAAAATAAAATAAAATCTTTAAAAATTTTTTATAACTTGATAACCTGTTTAAATTATCCATACCCAAGCTTATTTGCCCAATCAAGACTTAATTCGTACACAGGTGTAGTTTTGTTAATACAGTTCAGCCTCACATTTCTATTTCAATTACTACAAACTGATTCTGACAAGAGTCTTTTAGAAGAAGGTATGCTGTCGATATAAGATAAGGTTAATTGAGAAGACTTCCAGAAAAGTGATGATTACCATTTGGAAGGAGAGAAGAAAAGAGTTAGTTATTTGAGTGGTGCAGTATTGGAGTTAGCACACGATGATAACCAGTGATCATTTAGTCCAATGCAGATTCTTTCCCTGGTCAAAACTAGGACACACAGTGAGAGATTCTATACCTCTCCCACAACAGAAATGGAAACAATCCTCAAATCCTCTCTAATCACAAAGAAAAATACATGAGAATAATATAAAAAAAAAGATAAGATTGTAAAGACCTTGTACTTTATTTGAAGACAAAATACTTTTGCCACTGTCATGGTCTTTTGAAACATTTTGAACAAAACCTCCTTTCCACATAAGTACAAGTATTTCTGTCTTTTTTCAAGGGCAGCTGTTTGCAGATTTGGTGGTAGATTTATACTTATTCCTGGCATCTTGTTCTCTCATCTACAAGCTTTTCTTCTCCCTACACCAAAATCTGTTAGGGCTCCCAATCAACAGCCCCACTGTGTAATTTCCTGCAGAGAGCTCACTCTTGAAGTTACTTATTACTATATTAGTTCCAATAATTAGAGTCACTTAAAATGCCAAACAACTTGGGCTCTCTTGATGAAATGTGTTAAAGTATTCTAAACTTAACTTTTATGCCATTATCTTTGGTTGATCTGTACAACTCAATTTTGGTTATCTGTTGAGGCACCTAAAATATTTTTTCCCCCAAGAAATTTGGAAGACAAGGCCGAGTCCTGTGTGGTTATTAGACAGCATACCTCAGTACGTTTCAGAGAAGCTAAGGGTCCCCCTGCTGGTGAGTAGTGAGAACTCTTCTAGCTCAGTGGGCGGTATCGGTTCAAAGGATGTAAAAGGTTAGGAACTCCAGTTTGGATTATTGCCTTGGCTGTCAACCGGGGACAGGGTAGTTAATTGTTTCATGATTTTCTTTCAGTTTCAATGAGTGGAAATTCTGGTCTGTGTAAGTCTGGGCTCAGGAACTGAAGGGCCAGGGATGGCACCCTTGGCGTCCCAGTTTGCTCTCCTTAAAGTTTCACAGAACCTGCTGGACAGCATTTGTAGCAGCCCTAGATAATTGAATAAGCTGACTTAAAATCTTTAATTTTAAAACATATTTTCTCATTTTTTCTTATTGCAAAATAAATATGTTTATTGTAGAACATTTAGAAGATGCAGGTAAGACAAAAGAAGAAATATCCCATCCCATCCTTAATTTAACTCATTACACACTTTGGTTTATATCCTTTCAGCCTTTTTTCTGATTTACTTATAGAAATAACTTTTAAGTTAAAGTATTTTTAGAGAAAACTGTTTTGTGTCCCTCTTTTTAACAGTTTCATTGAGGTATACTTTACACACAATTAAACTCATTCATTTTAAGTGTACAGTTCAATGAGCTTTTGTAAAAATCTATATTTGTGCAGCCAACACCATACTTAAGTTTAAGAACATAATAAAGTTTCCTCATGCCTCTTAGCAGTTATAGCCTGCTTATAAATCTAATAATCATTTGTGAATATTATTCTTTTGTTTGAAATATTTTTACAACATCATTTTGATGATTATAGTATTGTTTTATATAGCTGTACCATGATTTATTGGACATTGAGGCTTCTTTAAATTTTTTACATAAAAATTCAACATGACAAACATCCTTGTAATGAAATCATTTTGTACAGTCATGATTCTTTCTTTAGGAATAATTTCTAGAAGTGGAAGTATTGACATCAGTGATTATAATTACTCCATGATTAAGTTCTGTGAGGTCAGGGTATTATATCTATTTGTTTACTGTTGTATGTCCAGATCCTATGCAACTTGATACATAATTGGTGAGTGTGTGGCTGAGTGCCCCTGGCTGTACCATTAGTCCATCAGAGAGATGCCAGTTCATACCATCACCAGCAGTGTGTGGCATTTAATAGAAAGAATGTATTAGTATACATTTTAGATTTTCCAGGATGGGTCTATTTAAAATATTATGCTATTATTCCATTGATCCAAGGAACTATTCCAAAAATTCTAATATTTTGGCATCCAAATTATATCTCTTAGATTTCCAGTTATACTTACAGTCATACCCCCCAAAAATATCTCTTGTAAAACCATAAATCTTGGTTTTTGTTGGCAAACATAGTCATTTATCTATAAAGTTATTTTCCCCAAGATCATAATATTATAAAGAACAGCAAGTATATTTAGATGGTTTTGAGTGTTCAAGGTAACACAAAATTACTTCAAGGCTGTTTCATTAAAGTTTTGGGTTAGGGTTAGGAGTCTTCACTCTTTTCATTGCTTTTTCCTGGAACATTATAATTCTACATTATAAGCCACTGACACTATCAGTATGGAACATGTCTTTTCCTTTTTCTGTAAGGGAAAAAAGTGAAATGGATGGTATATACTTAAACATGATTCAAATAGCAAGTTTAATGTATATATTTTTCCACAACAAAGCAATTACAACCGCCCACCTTATAAAACAGTTATATATGTGCTGCTTTATAAGTACAATAAAAAACAATGACAAGAAATGTAATGGGTGACATCAGCTACTTTTGAGAGTGTTCTAAGAGATCGCTGTAGGAACACTGAAATTTAATCAGGATTCACTGGGGGATGTTGACATTATTCTATGAAACTGAAAGGTCATTGTTGTCCCCTACCTCTGGCCATTTTGACAAATAATTAGAAACCTAATGCCATTTGCAGTCACATCCACTAGGTGCTTATTGCTGGGAGGGCCCTTATGGACTCTCCAGGCAGCCCCCTATGTGGAAGGAGGTGCCTGCTTTCATCTTTCTCCTGCGCAGGCAGTGTTGAGCCAGGTGGGGGCCCCAGAGTGCAGCAGGGAATTAACCCAGTGATACCTGTTTACTAGTAAGAATTGGAAAAGGGAAACCATATTAGGACTTAAATTTTTTTACTGGTCAGAATGCAAAAGATGTCAACATTTCCAGCTGCTAAGAATGTACTAGACAAAAGCAAGAAAGATAATTTTGATATCTATGAAAAAGTAGTTTTCAATGAGCTGCTTAGAAAATGTAGAAAATTCATTGTCGATACTCTTTGAAACCTTTCCATTTCCTTCTTCTTCCTGCCTCTGTGTCACATTCACTGATGTCCGAAGAGGAAGAGAATGAAGAATTGTGGAAGGAATTTCTATTCATGCAGGCATCATATAACCTTAAGTCCTTTGGGGAAAGTAATTCTTGGCAGACATTCCAGGACCATGTGTAAGTAGAAAATGTGTCATAAAAGGACTCATTTTTAGTGTCTATTCCAATCAGATCTCCTCGGATCTTCTGCCAGAGGTTTAACATTTCTTTTCGGTGCTCAAGAGCTGTTTCTAAGTTATAAGTATCTATAGCTCTCTTCACCTGCAGTGAGAAAGCAGAAGTTTACAGTAGTTATCTTAAAATATCTTTGATTTGTGGACCACAATTCTAGATATTCCAAGAGTTATGTTCCTAGGCTACTTGAAAGTCACTGAGTTTATACATTTGGTAATGCCTCTTGAGGAATTAGGAGTTGACAGACAATGAAAATAAATTACTTTGGAATAATGAGATAATACATTTTATAAGACTATTAAAAACACAAGAGTCTACACCAAGGAGGAAATATGGGGTGGAGGTAGGCCCCGAACATA